TCGGGGAGGAGGTGGCACAATCAAGGTATACACATGTAAGTACATGTAAAAATGTTAAATAAAAGGAGAAAACAAGTAATTGCAGTATTCAACCCAAAATGTGTACATAAATGTTCATAGCATCACTATTTGTAAAAGTCCCAAAATGAAAAGATTCTTCAGTGATAATTGGACAAATAAAATGTGATATAGCAATACAATTAAATATTATTAAGTAATAAAAATAATATATTGATACATACTATCCTATGAATATTCCTTGAAAATATTATGCTTATTTAAAGAAGGCAGGCATAAAACCATATATTGTATGATTCTATTTATATGGACTATCATGGATAGGTAATTCATATAGTCAATAAAGTAAAAGGAATTGCCTATGTGTTGGTGGGGACAGAGCTGAGAAAAATTGAGTGAAACTGTTAGTGGGTACAGGATTTCTCTGGGGGTCATGAATGGGTTCAAAATTTGATTGTGAAATGGACATATGATCCTGTCAATGAATATACAAAAAACTAACTGTATATTTTATATATTTGAATAGTACAGTTCTCAGGAATGTGTTGTTCTTCTAGGGAATATAAGACCAGGTTCACTGAGTTGGAATTTGAGCCTACAATCCAGTTTTTTTGGGTTCTTTTGTAAACTAATGTACAAAGAATAGAAGTATCATCAAGCTTGTGGTGAATAACACTGATACTAAGGAAAAACATAGTTGCTCCATACAACTGGAACAGTGAAGAACTAGTTCTGAAATCCTGATGAAATCCTTAGGCACCCCCAAGTAAAAAATGTTAATATTATATATAACAATAAAATTAAGAGCAAGGAGGATATAGATTTCCTGAGAATGAAAATTTGCATTTTATCATTATGTACAGAAACTCACCTAGCTGTTTATTGATAATGCAAAGAACATGCAGTGGGAGAAGAAATTACAAGTATCAGCTATGGCATTTTGGTCAATGGCAGGACATAGATCATGGCATTATGAGGTAATTTGACATACATGGAGAGAGTGGTTGGTGGATGGTGATATGGATATCACTGAGATTTTCCTAGAGATATAAGGAGCAAAAAGTAACCAAATTGGGTAAAAATCTGGTCTTCCTTTTCCACATTTACCTGAGGAAGAATTGAGTATGATCTTGGGGGAGTTCATCTATTTTCTTATTCCTGTCCCTGTCATATATTGAGACACACAAAAAGTAGAATTAGGGAAGTCTAGTCATTGTGAGTTATCACCATGGTTATCTCTCCTAGAGTCTGTTTACATAGATTCATGCTGTACTGAGAACCACCAACTGGGAACCTCCAAAGCATGTTTATGTTTTTCATGGTGGTACTCATGGTAGAAACCATGATGCCTTCTTGGCAAGTGTTTATAATTCTAAGATATTTTAAATCATTTGCAGTCTGATCTCTGAGTCATTTTAGTAGTTTTTCAGCACCCTTCACACTCAAAATTTTAGACTGTAGCAACATAGGAGTCCTGTCCATTCCATAAACAAACAAGGAGTCAGCATGTATACAGAAGTTTCTCTCCACCTCCACCCTTCCCCATAGTATAAGGTGTGATAAGTGACTATAATCAAAAATCACTCTGATCCTCTGAGAAAATTGGTCCTAAAGAGGTCCTGAGTGATTTCCTTGTCTTTAATGACTTACTACAGGGACTGGACTCCTTTGGGATACTGAGACTCTTAGGCCCAGAGATGGCTAGAGGAGTAGATGTGAGCAAGAATGGGGCAGATAAAGAGGGCACTTCCTGTGCCTGTAATGAATAAAGGGGAGACCTATTGGGTAGGTCCCAGAATTACCTTCCCAAAAGTCCTGTGTGAGTTGTCAGGAAGGTAATGAGCTGATACCTTACTGTCCTTCCAACCTGAGGGTGTTGATTTCCCACATAGTATGATGTTCTACAAACCAAATTTTCAGGTACAATATTTTTCTCTTTGTCATCTCTCTGCCTCTCAAGACTTTGGAACATTGTAGAAGTATTTTGTTTCATGGTCACCACTCATAATCCTTTTATTAATGATAATCTTCATTAATATTAATTATTGTATAATGTATTCTCTCAGGATTGTATCATTTCTACATAACAGCTCCATGAAGAATTTAATTCAGTCATTCTTATGTATTTTTAAGTTTAGAATCACATGTGGATCTTTGATAGACTTCAGACAACTCTGTTATCATAGAATATGAAAAATATTATGAGATCTCCATATCCTCTATTTATAATGCTAGTACAAGTTCTTGCTATCAAAGTGCTACCCACTTTCTATAGTCCATTGATGCATAACATTGACATAACTTGGCTGTTAATTTAAATGACACAACATGAGTTAAGAAACAGAATTAGAGTTTTCAAAGAATCTTTGGTGACTTATATATGTACTAAACTTTAGAAACTCTTCCCTAATAGATTCCCATGCACTGTCAGGTTGAAAACTACACATTTACCACCCGAAAAAGATATGAAGGTTTTTGGGTCACAGTGGCAACAACTGTAGGGGATGTCTCTGGTTTTTGATTCTTGCACACAGGCCTATAAGAGATGAGTCTCACTCACCTACAAAGGAATCAGAATTCTGAGAAAATGTATAGGTGATTTTCTCTACGTTTCTTTTTTCTATAGTGAAAATACATAAGACCCAGCTGTACAAGATCTTTATGCACCTGCATTTAGCACCATCATCAGGGTGAAATCCAGCAGATCAATTCAGTTGCAGAGTTTTATTGAAAGAGTTTTCCATGTCTCTCAATGATGCTCCTCTGCTTTCTCTTTTAGCTTTGAGATTTGCTGGGGTTCCTTAGTCTAGATTATGCAGAAAATAATAGAATAGAGTTATGGGTGTATTTTATTTTAAGGAATATTGGGGATTAATACATTTAATTTCTGTAGGGTGAGCCAGCCAGCAGACTAGAGTCCCCGGAAGAATGGGTGATATATTCTTAAGTCTTAAGGAATTTGGAGGCAGAATTTTCTTCAGGAGACTTCAGTTTCTTTCTTATGTCCCAAGTAATTGCATGTGGCTCATCATGTTATAAGATACAATCTACTTTATCCAAAGCCTACTGATTTAAATGTTAGCAATATTGAAAAATACCTTCATGGTAACATCTAGAACTAGCAAAATATTGTAATCAGGGTCCAATTAGGGTGATGCATAAAATTCACCATCACTATGGACATCTGAAGAACTCAAGTAAGGGTACAAAAATGTGCTTCTTTTTAAATTTTGCCCATTATTTAAAACTGCAAATCTTTCCTTCATCAAATATCAACAATATCATGTTGAATGAGGCAGAAGGTTTTTTATTATGATTCATAAGTATGACTAAAAAGGGTATTACATTTGACAAATCTTAACATTTTTCAGGACAGAATTATATCAGTGAAGATCAAGAGAATGTCAAAATATAGTGTGAAATGGATAAGTCTAGTGAGTGTATATTCTGAGATTTAAGAGGAGTAATTATCTAACTCAATGGGAATTGGTGGTAGTTAAAGTTAAGGAAATGTATGTCTGAACCTCATGCACACCTTACAAATATTCATAAGACATTGGCCACATCCAGGAACCATGCCATATGCTAGTCCTGTGCAGTCAGGAAGGCAGACATGTCCTTTCCTGCATGGAGCTTACAATTCGGTAGGAAATCAGCTGTAAACAAGTGATCACGGAAACTGAGTATCAGGTATTTATTTAGGATGCTATGGGAATGTGGTAGCAGGTTTCCCTTCTTTGGGGAGGCAGAGAATGCTGGCTGATCAATTGTCTTGTAAAGGAGAAGCCACAGAAGAGGGGACAATGTGATAGGCAGGAGAAGTAGCAGGAGTTGAAGCCTGGAAGCCTGAACTTTTGAGTTTCATGTCCACCCTTACTGCAAATGGAGTGCAATAACACTGTGGGGCCTCATGAAGCTGTGGATGTAGGTGTGATTCACATTAAAGCATTATTTTACTCTTGAAAAAAGTTTGCCTTTAGCATAGGAGCAATGAAAATCCTCTAAACCACCTAACCAAGGAAGGAAATGATTTGATTTACATATTAAAAGCCAGCAGTGTGAAAGAAGCATGTTGAAGGAGAAGGGTGGAGGCATGAAAATACAGACATAAGTTGAGCGTGTGCTTCAATAGTTCTTGAGAGATTATATTAGTCTGTTCTAGGAATATGGATGTATGGTAAGGAATGTGTGAAGTAAGTAGTAGGAGAATGAGGAGAAGAATCCAAAGGATATGTTCTCTTGATGATGCTGGTAGGAGAATGAATGGATGGGATGAAACTCAAAGATTTTTATATGATCCTGAATTCCTTTTAGTGAAATATGAGGCATTAGAGTGAAAAGAAATTTGGGATAAATCTAAGACAGATCATGTGGCATTTGGAATCTTTTGAGCATAATATGCCTATGACACAGCCAAGTTAATGTAATTATTAAGAAATGAGATATAGAATTATATACATTAGATATGTCTAATCATAGTTTTTAAATGGTGATCTAAGATACTGAAGGAGTTGAGCTTTTCTTGTAAGTATATATAAAATAACAAAAGGTTAGTGTTTAGAATAATCCTTCAAGACCATCAACATCTAAGATCCTGATAGGAATCAGGATACTGACAGTTACCTAGGATGACTGGTTAAGTAGGGAAGAGAAAAATCAAATGCATTTGTATGTCTGAAGCAAATACTTAAAAATTTTAGAAAATAGTAGAATATTGAAAGATATCAAAGAGTTAATTACAAGTCAATATTATAGCTTATAGATTCTGGTATTAATAGATTATAATTATTGAAATGAAGGCACAGCTGGCTATTGAGAATATGTAACATAGCATGTGCATGGAAATGTATATTGGGATATAAGGACTATATATATATGATAATATTTATGATGTATATAATATACATATATATATATGTATAATATACATATATATTATATATGATAATATTGTGTTTTCATAAAGTGCTTACTGACAGAGCATGACTGGAAGAAACCAAACTACTATTACAGAGTTCCTCCTCCTGGGTCTACCCATCCAACCAGAGCAAAAACACCGCTTCTACATCCTGTTCCTGGCAATGTATCTTACCACTGTCCTGGGGAACCTCCTCATCATTGTTCTCATTCTACTGGACTCCCATCTCCATACACCCATGTGTTTGTTTCTCAGTAACTTGTCCTTCTCTGACCTCTGCTTTTCCTCTGTAACTGTACCTAAACTGTTGCAGAACATTCGGACACAAATATCTTCCAACTTCTATGCAGGTTGCCTGACCCAAATGTATTCCTTCATGTTTTTTGCTGACCTGGGGAGCTTCCTCCTTGTGGCTGTGGCCTATGACCACTATGTAGCTATCTGTTTCCCCCTGCACTACAACAGCATCATGAGCTCCATGCTCTGTGTGTGCCTGGTGGTGCTCTCCCAGGTGCTGACCACATTCCATGCCATGTTGTACACATTGCTCCTCACTAGATTGTCTTTCTGTGGGGACAACCTCATCTTCCTCTTTTTCTGTGATTTGTCTGCCCTTGTGAAGCTGGCATGGTCTGACACTTATGTTAATGAGTTGGTGATATTAATTATACGAGGGCTCATTGGCGTCATTCCATTCTTCCTCATCATTGTGTCCTATATAAGAATTGTTTCCTCCACCTTCAAGGTCCTTTCTGTTGGCAGCATCCATAAGGTCTTCTCCACCTATGGTTCTCATCTGTCTGTGGTTTCACTGTTCTATGGGATGGGTGGTATGCTTTACTTAAGTCCATTAGATAATAATTCACCTGTTAAAGAGATTGTCATGGCTGTGATGTACACGGTGGTGACTCCCATGCTGAACCCTTTCATCTACAGCCTAAGGAACAGGGACATGCATGTCTCCCTGAGAAGAGTCTTTTGTAAAATGAAACTTCCGTTTTGTTTATATGGTAACACTTGGGAATGTTAAAAAATTTTAATAGCTAAATGTATTGACATTAATTTTGATCAATGGTGGAAAACTTTCAAAATAATTTTTCTAGTTTTGTGAAATATAAATTAAGTAATCTAAAGTCACCTAAATATGTAATAGCATAACAGAACTTCTTGTTCCCATTAACTGTAATTTAGCACACTTTGATCACAATCTCCCTACCTTTCCCTCCCCTAAGCTTGCGTATTCCCCAGTCCCTGCTAACCACCATTCCATTCCCAAATTTTATGAGATCAATTATATTAGATTCCACCTTAGATTGAGACCATGCTACATTTGTCTTTCTGCATCTGGCTTATTTCACTTAATATAACTTATCTCCACTTCTATTCATGCTTTCACAAATGACAGTATTTAATTCTTCATATCTGAATTTTATTCTAGTGTGTATATATAATAGTTTCATTTTTATTCATTAATTGATGGACACTTAGGTAGTTTCCATTTCTTGGCTTTTATACTGTCATACTGAACATGGGAGCACAGATATCTATTCAACATGTGAATTTCACTTCTTTGGATAGAGAACTGAAGTCACATAGTGCTTAATCATATATTTGTTCTATTTCTAATTTTTTGTGGAATGTTCATAGTGTTTTCCATGATTGCTTTACTAATTTATCTTCCCACCAAGTTTACAATGGTGTCATTTTCTCTACATCTTTGCCAGCATTTGTTATCTTTAGTCTTTCTTATTTTAGTCATCCTTATTGGAGGGTAGCGATGCTTACAGTTTTTTTTTTTTTTTTGCATTTCCTTGATGAAAGTGGTGTTGTGTAGTTTTTCATCATATACCTGTTGGGCATTTTCATCATATACATGTTGGGCATTTGTGTCTTCTCTTGATAATTGTCTATTAAGGCCTATTACCCATTTTTAAATTGCCTATTCTTCTTTGCTAACTAGGTTTTGGAATTCCTTATATATTCTATGTACCAAGAGCCTGTTCGATATATACCTTGAAAAGATTTTCTCTGATTATGTGGGTTGTCTCCTTACTCTTTTCATTGCATCCTCTACTATGCAGAAAACTTTTAGTTTGACTTACTCCCTTTTTTATTTCCTGGCCTTCTGGGCTTTTGTCAAATAACATTTGCTCCTTCCCATGTTCTTAAGCATTTTACCTGTGTTTTCTTCTAGTAGCTTCATAGTTTCAGGCTTTATATTTTCATATTTAATCTATTTGAATTGATTTTTCTACTGGAGAAATAGATGTCTTGTTTAATTCAGAAAAATGTTTCTACATGTGAATATTCAATTTTCTGAGCACCATTATTGGAAATACTGTCATTTCTCCAATGTGCATCATACCATCTTGTGAAAAGCCAGTTGGCTAAAGATGTGTGAATTTACTTCTGGTCTCTCTATTCTGCTCCAGTGGTCCATGTGTTTGTTTTTATGCCAATATCATGCTGGTTCAATCAGGAAAGATTTGTAGCATTTTTGAAGTCATGTAGTATAGAACCTCCTACCATGTTTTTTTTTAAACAGATGGCATTGACCACTTAGAGCTCTTGTTATTGTTTCATATAAATTTTAGAATATTTTGTAATTATGTGAAGTATGTAATTTCTATTTTGTTCAGAGTTGCATTGGATTTGTAGATCATTTTGGGTAGCGTGCACATTTTAACAATATTGACTATTCCAAGCCATGAACACATGATGTTTTCCCACTTTTTTCCATTTCAATTTCTTTGAAAAATGTTTTACCATCTTGAAACTGCAGACATAACTCAATGATAGAGGACATGCCTAGGATGACAGGGCTTGGGATCAGTCCCTGAAACTGTAAAGTTAACTAACTAAATAAAATTCTGTAGTTTTATGAGATGTGAAGCCATGATATATAAACAGCATTGATTTTCCCCAAGTACACTTCCAACTTAACTTATAATGGAATTTTTTCTAAAAAAATGACACACTCATCCTTAAATTTAGTTGTAGAGAAAAGTGAGTAAAATTTCAAACTATTTGAAAAAGAGAAACTATAAATTGGCTCTTTTCCTGCCAAATATCAATATCAATATGCATTTCCAAAACCATTTAAGTAAAACCATGTACATTTATGCAAGAGTTTCAAAAATATCAATATACTATGAAAGATTTAAAAAATAGTCTTATGAATGTGAGATTTATTTACCAAAGAATATGATATTTAACATTACTGTATAAAGAATGCACTACTCAAAGACTGGCTCTGGGATAACTGACAGGGTAAATACTCCATAAATTCCTTGCACTGTAAATGAAAGTGCTGTTTCAAATGGCCTTAAAAGCAAAATATATATTGTGATCTATAAAATATTTTAATACAAAAGCATAAATTCACATGAAGCTCAAGAACTTTCCTTTTTAATTTGTACATATTTGACCACATTAATAATAAACTTTTCTCAGAAATATGATCACATGAACAAATTTTAAAGAGAAGTGATAGATTACAGCATGTCCAGGATAAAAATCCATGATATACAGAGTTCCCACAAATAATCTAAGATTAAAATATCCTGGATAGAACAATGTACAATGAGTATTAACAGAAAATTCATAAATGATAAGAAATATGGTTGAAGGTGGTAAGTTAGCAGATTAGGGACACCCAGCACTTTCCTGCCTCTCCATGAGTCTGAAACAAAACCTCAAATACATGGTTCTAGAGAGAGGCTGGTGGCAAAGAAAGACAAGGTAGGACAATATTAAAAGTATATAGTTAAAGAACAGGGGAAATCAAGATATGTTAAAATTTAGATTTATTTGAGAAACAGAAGACCTTAATATGGAATGCTGCCTTGCTTCCATAGTATGCTGAACTCATCCTATAGTAGACAATATCCTTGATCACTTGTTTATAATTGACCTCCTACTAGATTGCAAACTCCATGCAGGAAAGGCCATGTCTGCCTTTGGGATGACCACAGGGGCAGTGGTTTGCATGGTGCCTCAATGCGGCCAGTGTTTTATGAACATTTTTAGCTGTCATTTAGCCTAAGACACAGATTCTTTCAATGTTAAAAGTAAAACCTCCTACAAAGTTAGAATTACTACTCCTATTCAGTCCTTTCCAAAATCAATCTAAGCAAACTTAGCCATTTAGCAATAAATTTTGACACACAATGGCCAACCTCACAGATGTAATTCTGTACTCATGAAAAATTTCAAAGTAACTTAAAGTACCTTAGTTGTAGTACTCTTCTCAGTGGATGACTCAAATCAAATATTGTTTTCTGTTTTCATGATTTTATTAGCTTATAATAGTTGTACAGGGGGATATATTGTGATTATATATATATAATATATATATATATGATTACAATATATTTTAGTTAGATATCCTCCATCATTCTCCCTCTTCCTGCTTCCTCCCTTCCTAGAACAATTTCAACAGGTTTTGTTCTTCTATTTTCATATCTGCATACAAAACACGTCCACCATATATGCCCTCATTACCCATTTACTTGTGTCCACCCCCTTCCCATTGGTACTCACCCCTTGAAAAGATTTATTTTTCCCTCCTGAGTTCATTTTATTAAATTTAGTGTATATTTATAGTTCAGGGGGTTTTGCCTTGGTACTTCAAGTCTGTATATATGGTGTTTATATCAAATTAGCTCCTTCCCCACTGTAACAGGGTAGGGGTCCCTCATTCTCTACCACCATAGTCCCTTAATATTCAACAGTTTATTGTACAGTGCATTATATTATATTCATATATAAATGGGTTGTTTCAATATTTTTCATTCACTAACATTTCATTTCTCTCAACTTCTGTAGCCCTCTCAGACAGACTCATAGATACAATTTTGTTCTCACTGTCACTACTATATACATATATATATATTCATATATGTTTCTCTCTCTCTCATATATATATATATATATGCTTAACTTACAGGTCTAGCTTTCATATAAGAGAGAAAACATAACACTTGAATTTTTTTAGCTTGGATTACTTTGCTTAACATGAAGTTTTTGAGTTTCATCCATTTACCTGCAAACAAAATTTCATTCTTCATGGTTTAATAAAACTCCATTGTGTATGTATACACATATATTTTTTCTTAATTCATTTATCAACGTGGGACATCTAGGATGCTTTCAAAGCATGGCTATTGTAAATAGCCCTGTGATAAACATGGGTGTGCAAGTGGCTCTACCATATCCTGGAGTACATTCTTTCAGATACATGGCTAGGAAGGGTATCACTAGATCGTATGGTAGTTCTGTTTTTTGTTTCTTGATGGAACTCCATATTACTTTCTACAGTGGTTGCACTAATTCACATTCCCTTCAACAGTGTAGAAGTGTTCCTTTCCTGTTAGCATCCTCACCAGCATTTATTTGTGTTATTGGTGATAGCCATTCTGAGATGGAATTTCAGTGTAGTCAAACCAAACATTTTATATCTCAATCTACATGATTTAATTGGTATTGATGTGGAAAGAAATACACACATTGAGAATTTATCAATCATGGGAGAAATACAAGAGAGAGAGAACTTTTTCTTCAAAACCTTATTGGAATTCTTTATCAGATGTCCTTACCATAAATGATAGTTACTGTTGTATGTCATTGGGCTAAGCCCTAGAACCAAAAGTTGCAATTACTAGTTCTAAATTTTGCTGGAAAGTGTTTAAATGTGATTTACATTTAAGTCAGGACAATGTGTAGAAAGCAGACCACTCTCTACAATATGGTGAATGTCACACTTTCGGTTGAACCCATTAAGAAAAAAGGCTGGAGGGTAAGGGTGGCTCAATGTTGCAATTCAAGCTACTTGGGAGATAGAGATTGAGAGGACCATTGTTTGAGGCCATCCCAGCCAAAAAGTTTGTGAGACCATATCTCAGTGCCTGGATGCAATTGTGCATGTCTATTATCCAAGTCATGTGAAGAAGCACAAATAGGAACATCAGAGTCCATGCAGGCTTGAGCATGAAGCAAGACTCTATCTTAAAAATAACCAATGCACCAAGG